TGTGTTGTTGATGAATTGTTAACTGCTAACTGCTAACCCTGCACACATGACCATGTGTTGTGAGTGAAATGCTAAATGTCAGTAAAAAGGTTACACAAACACACAACACCAATGAGCACATTTAGGATCACACCAACATCCTCTTTAGCTCTGCAGCTAACAGTTCTTTTCATTGTTCATTATTGGTCATTATTGATTGATCTACAGATTATTTTTTCGTCGATAGTCTCTTAATGTCAAAGCAAGGTGAAAAAATTTGAGAAACAACTTCTCAGACAGCAGTGACACATCTGAAACGCCAGCATACTCAGTTTACAACAATAAAATGACAGAGAAAAAAGCTTTTTTCATTATTGTTGCCTTTATAAAGGGAATTGAAAGGACTGCGTCAATATCAAAGTATTTGCAGGTTGTCAACTAATCAAATTCTTCTAGTAGTATTAATTTATTGAGCTCAATCAATCTCGTACAGACTAGAACTAAACAGAAAGCACACTTTTTGTTGTTATGCAGACCAGTTATGTTATTAAGGGTTACACAAACCCTAACTGCAGAAGACAAACATGAGTGAAGCTAGAAAACAGAAGCATGATGTGTTTGAGGTGTTGCACCAACCTGTAGTTAGGACTGTAAGCAGCAGTGCTGCACATATGAAGCAACGGTGGTGAGAGAATCAATGTGCGATGGGAAGCCACTGATGTCTTCCAGGATGGAAGTATCTGGAAGGCCGTCATGAGGGAGGAAACAAACACCTGGACCCACCTTTTCTTTCTGTTGCCTTTTATTGGGGATTTTCCCGCAAGGGGCTGTCTCCGTGGCAACAGGTGTCCAGCAGCTGCCTCCAACTGTCAGTCGCTGCTGTGAAGTTCAGACAGGGGCGGGGCCTCAGCTGTCCAGTCAGAGCTGGTGGAGTCCTGACATCAGGAGGTGGACCAACACTTTTTATTGGTCTGCACACTGATAAAAATAAACCTTAACTCTGCTTAATAGCGTCTGTAAATAAGTAATAAGGCTATTGAGAATTTACGCTAATCTAACAAAACAAATCTAACAAATCTTTTGAAGACGCACTCAGCAAGGTGACGTATCTCCGTAGAGCTGATGTTTAGAACATGTAGATTTTTCCATTGGTGCTAAATCCTGTGGCCTCTTGGAAACATGCTGGGCAGGCTGAGTCCAGGGTTTCACGTTTTTATCAAACAAAGACTTTCGGCACTTTCTTTTTCATTACTTGTCCTGGTCTCCCTGGTTCTGAGTCCTGCTGACAGCAGACGTCTCTGAGTTCTGTTTCCGTCTTCATGTGGTTCTGGTTCCTCAGAGCTGCAGGACTTGATGCTGAAACATGAAGCTCAGTGAAGGAAAACGAGGCAGAAACTGCTCAGAGTTCAGAGGGTTGATGAAAACACTTCTGTGCATCCGGAGCAGCGACTAAATAAAACATGGCAGAGACTGTGTTGTGAACACGAGCGTGACTTTAATGTGTCTGAATAATTCAGAGAAACAAGCCGGCGTTTCGTCAACAACGCAGGAGGAGGAGCTCTGAGGACGATGAAGAGGAGAAAGTGGGACCAGTTTTCTTTCTGAGGCTTTAAACATGATGACGTGACAGAATTACGTTTTTACAACATTTACAATAAAGTAGAAAACCGTGTTGCAACGGTGCTCACACGGACCGAAGGCCGGTGGTCAGGCTTCAGGTCAAAGAGGCGAGCGAAGGGACGGAGGGGGGAGGACACGACGGAAAAGACAGCGAGCAGAGCAGGCAGACCAAGAGAAGCTCCAGCTCTCTGCTTTGTGCCGCGTTTGGTCTAAAAGACACTGATGAAATATTTAGCAGCAAAGAAGCTTCTGTCCTCTCTGCTCCACGTCAACAAGCTGAAATACTGCAGGAAGAAGGCTGGACATGAAGAGCTACCACTGCTGTGACAAAGCTGCAGTACATGTATAAACCTGCACCAATACTGCTGGGACACAAGCAGGAAGTACTCCGGATTACTGCCTGTACTACAGCAGCAGCACACATCACTGATTATGTGTTAATAGTGATTAGAATCAGGAGCCAAACGAGCAGCTTCAGTCCCTAAAATATATCAGTGGGTTTCCATCCTTCTATGTAGTATCTGGACGTGTGAATGAGGTGGGCGGCCGAACCACAGGCTGCAGCAGCACTGATCATTCTTCATTAGCCAATTAGTTTTATCAGAAGCTTCAAAGTCTGAAGCAAAAAAGGCTAAAAGCTGCTGAACTTGGTCCCTCAGATTCTGTTGGCTCTGCTCAGCCTGAACATGAACTGTGTTTTCTGCCAGGTTCAATCCTAAATACTAAACCCTAGCAGATGTAGAAGTCCGTCTGAATGATGAGGAGAAACAGACATCTGCCCATTTAACCTCCGACATGCTCACACTACTGATCTGCACAGGACATGATCCAGACCTGAGATCAGGGAAACTGGAGCAACAACTGCTGTGAGAAAAAGTTACAGAGAAAAAAAAAGGCAGAACTGAGTCTGGATGGAGAGATGAGTTCAGCAGATCTTCAGAGACCACTGGAGGATAGACTTAAGTATCAGTTTAATGCCTGTAGCTAACGCTGGCCCAACAGGACTCGATATTGGAGTGAACAATGAGCTCACAGTGAAGGAAAATGAGGCAGGACCACAACCCACCCAGAACCTGCTCAGAGCTCCAGAGGTGACCTCTTGGATATCTGATGTAACTGGCTCAGGAAGCTTGGTCTCATGTGTGCAGATGTTTAAAACAACGATCATGTGGAAAGAGTGACTCTTTAAACAGAAGGTGAGGACATACATCTGGGGGGAAACACGTTCCAGTTTACGAGACCTAAACCTGAGCCACCAGTTTCCTCTTTGTATTTGGTAGCACTAATCCCATCTACAGGATTTTACTGAAGTTCTTTCACTCAGGAGAACATCACCCAGCTGAACCCTGACCCTTCCCTCTGTCTTCCTCACACTTCAGCATGTTCACTGCCATTTCCTCAAACCCTCAGCTGGGCCCCAGAGGTGTTCCTGGCTGAACCCCAGGCTGGACTCTGTGATTCAGCTCGTACATGGGACGCTTCATTCAATCTTTACAAAACAGTTTGCATGTGGTGTCATATTCCTCCAGGTGGCGGTGGTGCAGTAAACGGTGACGTGTGTCCTGTGTGCATACAGTGTAGACGTCTCCTTGAAGAACATCTGTGTTCTACCATCATGTGTGAGCAGGCTCTGGAGTTCCTGGACTGATCTCAGTCCGCCACAGCAGGCGTCTTCCTGCAGCATCCCAGAATCCCTCCTCTCTTCTTCCTCCTCTTCTTCGTCTTGTAGTCTTTGACGCTGCTGTCGGAGCAGATGGACTTCCTCAGAGTCCTGATGTGCTTCTCCTGCTCCCGAACCTTCGACTCCAGGTGGGCCTGGATCGCCGTGCCCAGACATTCCAGGCCCACTGAGGCACCATACACCTCCCATGTCATCCCATGATCGTCCCACGCCACTTCCTGAGGCTTCACCATCTCCTCTCTATGCTCGTCGTCGTCCTCCTCTTTTAGCTCTTCGTCCTCCCAGATGCTCTCAGTGCTGACATCTCTGTCCTGGTTTTGTCCTGGTCGTAGCTCCGCCATGTGGGCGGGGCTCTGTGGGAAGCTGTATGTACGTAGACAGGTGGGGAGGGAGCTCGCCTTGTCGGTCACAACTGAAGGAAGCAGCGATTGGCTGTGCAGCTCAATGTCGATCTTGCAAACATGCTGGAAGGGCGGGCGACCGGCAGGGATGCAGCACAGCGATGGCACCGTCGGCGAGGCTGAACCGGACTGACGGCTGGTGGAGACGCTCAGGGAGGAGGTGGGAGCTGCCCAGTGGAGGCTGGGACTGGTTGAAACTGAGCGCTCCACCACCTCCACCTTTACTTGGATGCCCACCTCTCTCTGCTCCCATGCCCGAGGACAGAGCCTCACACTCGGGTCAGTCATGGTGGCTGTCTCCCTGACTTCCTTGGAGCTTGTTGGATGAGAGGAAGTAGGAGGAAGAGGACGGAGGAGTGATGAAGAACTCCCCAGACCATCTGTCTGTTTCCCCCTCTCCTGCTGCTTCTCTTCTTTCTCCCTCTCCACACTTGTTGCCCTTGACAACGGGATGCTGCCACCAGCGTTGGTGGCATTTGCATTTCCCAGGTGACCCGGTTTGCTCGGCGGGTTTCCTGGTTTTCTCCTGGTGTCTCGTGGCGACCCTCCGGCGCCAGCAGCTTCGGGCCCCTGGGACTTCGCCAGTTCTTCTGCAGCTGCTGCTTTGCTCTCAGGCACTTTCAAATGTTCTCCTTTGACATCAGCACCCGTCTTCACTGGTCTCTTGGTGATGGAGGTGAAGGCGACGCCCTGAGTCAGACTAGTGCTATGGGATGTTATCAAGGCAACAGTGGATCTGGTTTTGGGGCTGGAGGTGGCGAGGGGAGCCAGTGGGGCTGAAACCACAGTAATGCCTGGAAGAAGAAACAAAGGTTAGCAATCATATGACTGGCAAGCCAAAAGCATCAGTTATCCTTTTTATTCTGCTGACGTCTCTAAACGTGACCGTCTGTGTGGTGATGAATGGAAGAGCAACTCTGGTCCTCAGTTTGGGGCTGCCTTTTACTGTTTAGGTTCACGTTCAAGTCACACGTCTGTCAAATATGAACACATACAGCCAGCAGGATGAAACGCTGATGATCACTGATGTTTGATGCTGCTGCAGGCAGCTTGGCGACGTGCAGCAGAGGTGAGATACTGAATCATTAGAATTCCAAAGTTTCAAAAATGTCGCTCAGTACTGTGTTTTACTGAAGCCTTCCTGTCCCATAAACAAAGACGTTTGAAGCTGTAATGTCAGCTGTCTGCTAATCATCAGCCTGCCATGACAGCTGTTTTTAGAAGCGGCACATTTTTGGACACGTCAACAGTCTTTAAAGGGCCCGTGTCATGATTTGGAGGATTCTCCTTCCTCGGATCTCAAACAAACAATGACCAGCTGCCTTCAGTAACACAGTTTTTTTTTTCATCTGTTTGAAAAGGTCCAAGTCCAGCTTGAACACACAAGATGTTTTTTTTTTTTCAAAACATGGCTACCTCACAAAGTTTCTCATTGTTAGTATTTAGCTTTGCTTTGGAGGGTTACTGGTTCCAAACCAGTGATTTCATTTTATTTATTTTTCCTTTATTTAACCAGGTAGGTTAATTGAGAACAAATTCTCATTTACAACAGCGACCTGGCCAAGAGGCAGCACAGAACTGATTTGATGCTACATCGCTAGCACTTTGGGTGCCACAGGTGTGGGAGATGTGCAAACCTGAGATGGTTTAGTGGCAGAACAAGTTTGTTTTTCAAACCATGGTTTTTCAGATTTGATTTGAATATTTGTCACATGCCAGGCTTTCAAAGGCTTTACATTTACATTTAGAAGGAGCAGCAGTGGATTTATGGGGCTATAATCACGACTGCAGACATCTAAACTGTGGTGATGTGGCTGAATTTTGAACACTGATGGTCTTTGGCCTGGAAGTGAATTTTTAACCAAACGGCAGTCTGCAGTGTTGCAAATTCAAGTCAGTGAGAAAAACTGTAGTTCCTCTAATGGACACTCGAGGATCCAAAAGGGAACCAGTTTCCATGGCCTCCATGTTAAGATGCCCCCCCGGGGGTGAATTTTTATACAGCTCAGTGTTTTAACATGGATCAAGAACTAAAGATATGAACAAGGAGAGTGTTTGTCATAGGACAGCCATGGTCCACCTCTGGTCATCTTTGGATTAACTGGGAGTCAGGTATTGCCAAGATGGTGGCGGCCAGAACCAGCACACTGAGCTTCAACACTGTTTTGCAGCAAACCTGCAGGTGGCGCCGTCGAGGCTTCATCTGTCGTTAATACACTTCATGTTCTTAACTTTGGAAATAATTCACTGAAGATGGTTTTGCCAAACTGCTCATTTTTACAAAAAACTGACTCAGAATCTGCTGATCTCAGTTTTCTAACATTGCTACCTTGAGTTAAACCAAGACTTACCAGGAGCAGAACCAGGACTTCTCTGAATCTCCCTGTTTGGTCCAGCTGAACTAGAACCCAGACTTTTTCGAGGTCCAGATCCAGGACTCCTGCTTGTTGAGCTTGGTTTTGAAGACAGTGTCAATGAGGACGACAAATCTATCAGAGCTGGCTTTGAACTAGACCGTACTGGTTCAGATTTAGAAGTATCTGATCCAGCCTTAGAGTCTAAATTAGGCTTAAAATTGGAACCTGTAGTCTTGAGGTTGTTGTCTTTCGACCCCAACAGACTAGGTCTTGAAGGTGATGGGGAAACAGATTTAACAATGTCCATGTTAGAGCCAGAGGCCATCAGAGTAGGTTTAGAAGTTGTCGTTCCGGGTTTAGAACTGGAAAGGCCATTAGAATAGGAGCTAAGGTTCAACTCAGCACCAGGCTCAGCACTTGGAGTCGTTCTGACATTGAAACCAACTTTAGAGTCTGGAAGAGATTTAGGATCTTGTTCACCCTTTGATCCCATGCCAGTTCTGGAAACCACAACCATGTTAGACTCTGTAGTGGTTTTGTTTGTGTTGATTTCTGCAGTTGTTTTAGAGTAGAGGCTATCTCCAGAGCCCATCCCAGACTTAGAATTGGGACTGGCCTGGTAACTGGAGCCAGTTTTGAAGTCTAAGCTATCCTTGGAGTCCCAACTGGTTTTGGAAGCAGAACCGCTTTTAGAATCCAGACTATCTCGGGACCCTGTTTCAGAAATGGGGCTGGCTTTGGTGCCAGGTTTGGAATCCAGACTGTCCTTAGACAACGTTGTTGCTTTAGAGGTTGAACTGGATTTGGAAATGATTTTGGACCCAGCACCAGTGCACGAATCTTTGCTATCAAGATTCTCCTTGGACTCTGGTGAGGCACCATTTTTTGTTCCAGTGGCTTTTCTCTGTGTGGTTGGTTTGGGGCTTAGAGAAGTCATTTGAGGGTTCTTGGTACCCAGCAGTGCTGACTCTGTTCTCTGATTTTGTGGTTTTGTTGCTATGGAACATCTCTCAGGACCGTGAGGTGTTGAATCATTCCCACCATGTTGGTTTAACTTCATGGTCATGGTTGGGTTTGGTTTTTGGGTTCTGGCTGCCGCTGTTGGGATTCGATTCACCGGTTTTGGACTCACAGCATCGCTGTCTCCTCTCTGATTGTGGACTTTGGGGCTCACTGGTAGGTGTAGTATTTGTGGCGGTGGTCTGTCAGTGCAAATCTCTTTTCCACCATCTTCTTTTCTGCTTGATTGTGGTTTCGCTGGTTCTGCTCTCTGTGTTTTGACTCTTTCAGCGGTTCTGCTAGCTATTGCTGTATGCTCCACATGGTGTGGTTTCGGACTCTCCCCCATGCTGCTGTGGGTTTGTGACTTGGAGCCTAATGTTGGGGTCTGTTTGATAGTTGTGGATTTCAGCCGTTGCTCGTCTCTGCTGTTCACTTCAGCTGTTGGTGAGCGACACAAAGCTGGAATTTTGCTTTTTGGTTGAGATGGATCGTCTCTCTGACCTGGTGACATCACAGTTGTTGCTAAGGTGCTTGCTGACCTGCCCGTTGCGGTGATCACTGCTCCTTTCATCTCTCCTTTGTTCCCGTTATCTTTTTTGTTCCCTCCGTTCAGCTTTGAGGTCTCTGTGGTGGGACGAGGGTTGCTCGGTGAAGTCAGATTGAGGTTGAGGTTAAAGTTCGGCTCCGTCCCCCAGCTGGCATTAGACTCTGTGTTGCTGAGGGCGTCTGCATGCCCCACCTCCCATGGAGTCAGGCCTTCTGATTGGGCGACACCTTTCCTCCATTTAGAATTATCTGAGTGGGTTTCCATGGTGATGGTGTTTGTTTAGCAGATATCAAATCAATCTCCAGACCTGATTGGACAGATGAAGACACAAACAATCATCTGAGTTGAGATTACAGCATATTTGTATCTGAGTAGAGGTAAACCGGTCAGACTATGTGATCATAGACTCGTCATTTCAGCCTGTGTTGACCAATCATAGCTTCCCCTTTTTGGATGTTATTACAGAGAAAAGCCAATGACAGACTCAGCAAAACAAAAATGTAAGCAAACAATCACTGTGTGTTGGTCACTGATGGTCGTGCACAGGATGTCTCAGAAAATAAAGAAACCTGCTTTGGAACTGACAGTTCACCTTCGCTGCTGTTCAGAGGAGCACTCTGAGCTGCTATTGGTCAACGCCACAGAAGTGGTCTTTGGAAGTAACGCCAACCTTTTTGCTGTGACATTAAGAAATGTCTAAGATGTAGCATCTGTATGACACACGACACGAGATGAAACCATAACATGTGCCAGTCCTTCAGGTTTTGCTGTAACTACGGTGATACTTTGAGTCTGAACCTGGCTTTTAGTCATTTACTTTTTACTTTCTGTTTTATCATCACACCACATACAGTGGGTGAGGTAATACATTATATTGGTACAACGAAAAGCACATCACAGCTGTAATCAAAATAAATGTCTTGCAGATTCAACAGGTAATTGCATGTGGAGAACGAGCTGTACCACAGTCGACCACAAAAACTAGACTTCGTGTTGACCTGAACACGTGTCCTTCATGTGCAGTAAGACTGATGCTTCACAGTTTCTCTGTTGCTGAGAAAGGCGACAAAGTCAAGACAAATACAGCTACAATTTCCAAAACGTGTGCTTTTCATCCAACCCGAAGGAAATTCATTTACATTTATTATTATTATTATTATTATTATTATTATTATTATTAATAATAATAATAATAATAATAATAATAATAATAATCACCATTATTTATTATTATTATTTATTCATTACATCATTCATTTAATATTCATTTCCTTTCTTTCAATTAATAAATGTCATGCACCAGCTGTTTGAGTAATTCATCCATTTGTCATGAACCTACGACAGTAAACTGTCCTCCAGTGATGCCTGCTGCTGGATGAAGCCATGCAATGAGAAGCAAGTTAAGACCATCCATCCATCATCTATACACC